GCGTGCTCGTCTGCTACTGTCGAAGCGGACGGATTCGTTCTATGATTTTCACACATGCAGTGAGCAACACCTAAAGTTGCTAACGGTCGGGGATTGGGAAGGCGATCATTCTTTCTCATTTGCTGCTAAGACTCCGATCACAGCGATATCGTGCAGGAAAGTACTATTTGTTAACATTCCAATCTTTTTGCAATGTCATTTCTTCAAATGATTTAGTTATGCAAGGTTAAACTTTGCTAGCACGCATTGTTATCAATAATAAAGTTCATAGGTGTAATAAAGAGCTGGAATGAAATTCATTTCAGATGAAATTAATAATTAGTTGCTTAGTTTCGTTTACCATTCGCGTAAATGTGATGAAATGTGTTATGTATCTCGTGAAATGTCGTGAGCTGTATAGTATTACAAAGTAATTCTTTCAATAACCCAAGATTGTAAATGAATTGTGGATATTGTTACTAATATTGTAAAGAAAACCCCAGTTCGCTTGATTGCGCTTGTGAATGTGTATCCACATGCTACAATCGAGGCTATTATAAAATAACGTGTTTGTGTACATGCAATAAAGAGGTACAGTCCATGTGCGCTCTTACTTTTGCAATAATACATCCGACAGCACTTATATTTTTCATATGTGATCCAGATGTATTTACTGTGTCTAAAATATCAAAACGTATTTATGATAAAGTCGTTGTTTTTCTGAATAGCTGTTTGATCCAGTAGCTGAAATACAATCTCTTGTTTGTTGTTATTGATCGAAAGTTATCGACGAATTCTGGTTCATTATTTTTGCCAACAGAATTTGAACAGGAGTTAATTTCTTGCACAATCCGCTACTGATTACTCGATATAAATAACCATGTACTAAACCAGGGTATCAACAATCCTGACAATATTATATAAGGAAAATACCTTTCCTCCTCTCTATTCCTCTCCCCCACCTTTGCTTTTTTGTCTCGTTCGATCCCATTCTCTCCTATCGTTCTGCGTGTCGCTCTCATTTTTAGCTCGCCTTGACATCGTCAAAATGAGCTATTGCCATGGGGCGTCGTACGTCGTACGTCCGTCCGTCCGTCCGTCCATCCGTCCGTCAACATTTGGCTACGGTCGACGATAGCTCAAGAACCGCTTGACCCACATGTTTCAAATTGCATATAGTTGTTACTCCTATGGGAGAGGTTTGAACGTCCTATTTTGGAGCACGCCAGTTGACCTACATTCGAGCCACGTCCACTTTTTGGCAAAAATGGAAATGGCCACAAGTCAGTTCAGGTTCAATGCGGTTTGCTCATTTCTGATATGTGAATGAATGAGGACTGGCCCCAAAACATATCACACAGGTTTTGATTTTTTTTTAATTATGCAAATTGGGTAGATTTTGGCAATTTCACTATGCATTTTAGTGTCTGCCTACGGTCAACGATAACTCAAGAAGTGTTTGACCCACATGTTTCAAATTGCATGCAGTTGTTACTCCTATGGGAGAGGTTTGAATGTCCTATTTTGGAGCACGCCAGTCGACCTACTTTCGAGCCACGCCCACTTTTTGGCAAAAATGAAAATGGCCATCTAAATTCATTCAATTTTGTTAAATTTTGGTATGTGAATGTGGAAGGCTAGCCTCAAAACAGTTGTTACTCCTATGGGAGAGATGACAATAATATTATAACGTAATGCCTATAACGTTTATTTCGTCTAACTGGTCAACAACTCTACAATCATACCTATATACGTGTAATATTGTGTTATAGATTCTTCGTTACAGTAATTTGACTGGAATATTTTATTGTTTTTATTTGCGCGATATTCGAAAACAAAATGGCGATCATTTAGACGTGGTTACTCGTCAAGATTTCAGACTCAGATCTGAAACATTTGTTTTCGCATCAAAACTTATGCATATATCATTATCAAGAGTATATAATAGGAGATATGCAATATAATGGGAGTTCTCCCATATATACTCTGCTATATATATCAGGAGTAGATAATAGGGTTAACCCCTATTAACTACTCCTGATATATATGCTTTAGATATCCCTCCTCCCTCTTCTACCACACCCAAGGTGAGCTACAGTGTCACTGACACTTTCATTACTGTGTGCGTGTGCGTGTGTGTTTGGGGGTGCGTGCGCGCGCGTGTGCGTGTGCGGTAGCGTGTGTTTGGGTTTGGGGGGAGTACATGTGTGTGTTGTGTGTGTATGTGTTCGTTGAGTGTGTGTATGTGTGCGTGCGTGCGTGCAGCGCGCCTTTTTGTTGCGCCAGCCTCCACAATTTCTTTTTCTCATTCGGTGACTTCGAACTACGTAAAAACATCTATGTTTCACACCCAGGTGGTGCTCTTATAGTACCCAAATGGGTCAAGAATTCATCTAAGTTATTACATTTTTAGCTCAGCTGACGAAGTCAGATGCAGCTTGTAGAATCGCATGAATGTCCGTCCGTGCGTCCGTCCGTGTGTCAACAGTTATGGGAAAATCTTAACCGATTGACGTCCGGTCTTGATACTTGGGACGTCGGGGAGATCGCGAAAAGGACTAGGGATGTCGACTTTGGGGGTCAAAGGTCAAGATGTGTTAATGGAGGGGGAGTATTTCCCCCTTTACTTAAGGTATAGGAGGAAATACGGAATTGCGGCACAAATCTCAACGGCTTGACCTACGCTCTTAATATTCAATGTATAGTGTGATGGGGAGGAAACCCATCAGCAGCGCGAAATTGGAGGTCACAGGTCAAAGCGCAGTGGGGAAAGGTCAGATATCAGACATTTTCTGAGGACATGGTCTAACGGACCGAGTGAAAAACTTTTTTGTTTCAGCGCTGACCTGATTTTTATCACTTTATTGAAAGGACCATGAAATGTGCTTTCCGCTGACGTGCGAAGAGCAAGTGTCTGATTAACCTTTTGACCCTCAAGAGGAGGCGGTAAACAACGGATTTTGTTGACTGTTGAACAAAGGACGAACTGCTTTGCTATTAGAGCCCCTCCACCCGCTCTTCCCCCCCACCTTCCTCCCACCACCACCTACTACGCTCGCGCTCGACGCATATCCATGATAACATGTTAATATAGTGAAGTTCATTAAAGTTACACAGCTATATCTGCTATTACTGTACTACCGCGTATAGCCAAAGTCTATCATCGATTTTAGATCTGTATTAGTAGTATCTAGATATATGCTCTGAGCGCGAACGCGGTGGCAGGAAGGCGCACTTGATTCGTTGCCAGTGAGTTTATCAGAAGAATACCCGCCGGCTATAGTACACGTCAGTTGAGCGCTGTCGCTCTGCGGCACTTGTTTACAATCATTATAGCCTAAAATAGATTACGCCAATGCGCGCACTATTACATTGTGCGTATAACATATCGCGTAATAATCGAAACCTACAAATTGTATATAGCGTGCGTAAATATTTAGATATCTATTTACCCCTACTTGTTATAAAAGGTCGGCCTATACCCCCAAACACGCAAACGAGTAAGAGTAGGAGCTGAAATGCGTCAGGTGTCCTAGCAACATACTCCCGGCTGCGAAGATGCGGGGTGTTGCCCTCATAGCGTTCTCCGTGGCCGAGTAAGCATTATAGGATGCGGTAAAATTCACACGCCACGCACGCGCGCGCGCCATACACTCACACACACACACACACACACACACACACACACACACCCACACACACACACACGCGCGCGCTGCGGCGCAGCGCACTACGCACACGCACACGCCACACGCACACGCACACGCACACGCACACGCCACACACACACGCCACACACACGCAACACACACACACAACACACACACACACACCGCACACACACGCTGACAACCTGTGGCGCGGCGGACAACAACTAGCCTGCCACGTCGTCAATCGTGGTAATTGTAATCGCTACTTAACGTACGCGCGTTGTGAAGGCAAACAGGCAATACGTGTTATACAGCCGATACGCCCGTCGTGAGCGAGACCAGACGAGGCATCTCACATTCGAGTCTTGATTAGCTTGAGTTTGAGTGTTCGCTAACCGGTGCGATTTCCACATTGATTTTCGAAACGACCGTAAACAAGCTTGGCAGTTAAAATTGCCTTCAAGTTACAGTTAGTTGCTGTCGATAGAGAGATCTTAATGCAATGCTACAATCGCAAACAGGGCGTACTGTTACGCGACTATGTACATAGCTCAGATTGTAGGATAGAATCCTATAATTTAAAGACAGTGGATCAATCGATGATCTCTGATAATCAGTATATGATCAAAATAGCCGGTAACTTATATATTATATATATATATATATATATATATATATATATTGTATATGGTCTTCATTCGCGTATTTAAGGGGAAATAAATAGTTGTCCCTAATTTTGTTTACCCATTTGTGGAACAATGTAGGGGATTATTTGTTCTGGTACTAGCTGACGGATATAACAGATTATAAAATAAGATATCACCAGGAGTGTCATAATATAGACACTTCCGAATATCTAGAATATCTAGTGTCTAGAATATCTAGAATATTTAGAATATCTAGAATGTCTAGAATATCTAGAATGTCTAGAATGTCTAGAATATCTAGAATGTCTAGAATATCTGAGAATCTATATTATGACACTCATGATATCACTACGCAACTTGGTTTTTGTGTGTTTGCCTTCAAAAATAGGGCTTCATTTTTTTAGAAAAAACGCTGTCAGATATGTTACGTGGAAATTCGCATCTACGAGGCAAAATCCCGGGAGGGTCCCTGATCCCTTTAATACCCGTGCCTTCAGAACCTCGTTGCTCACAGAGCGGCCCTTTTTTCAAATACTGGGTCAGCCCCTGATCCTAACATGCAATTTCAAATTTTAGTTAATCACTGATAGATAATAGCTTACTATAGTAAAGGGTTAAAGAAATTTATACAAAAAAAACAAATGAATCTGGTATCGACAGCAGCGACAGCCATGGCGGTTATTTCGCCCGTAAAATTGACACTGGTAGTGACCTCTTTCGGTTGTTACCGGCACAACCCCCCCACGGAAGCTAAGTTTTCGATCAATCCAGTTTTAATGTAAAAATACCATATCTTGTTGAATTTTGGTTCATGTTAATATTAGGAGATGTCTACGAAACACCGCAGCTATTCGTAAGTGCGAAATCTTCGATAACCTATACTCTTTGCCGATGGCGGACATTTTCATACATGATCTGATCATGATGTCATTGATGATTGATATTGTCATTGATGATGCTTGCTGCCGCTATTCCGTATTCGATCGTCGTTCTTGTAGTTGTAGGCCTAATATCGATAAACGTATCTGGGTTGTAATATTATTGTAAATACACTGAGCTTTGGCATTATGCCTGCAATACTTATGTGGGGCGCATATACTGTATAGTCTTACAAGGTATACAAAATATGGAATTAGAATACTGAATAGTGGTCGTGTTGTGTTGTTGACGATGAAAATATGATAACTACCTCCTCTCGGTTCAACTTCAAGGATAGAGAACATAATATAATAATAATATAATAATAATAATAGGAGAGGATAGGGAAGATAATATTATATCAATATAATAGGTTAGGGTTATGGTTAGGATTAGGGTTAGGGTTAGAATTAGGGTTAGGCACATTGGTTTTATTGGGACCCATGTTCTCTATCCTTGGGCCCTACTCTCTAAAAGACAGATCTATGTCAGCCTTAGCTCTAGTACTATAGCCTGCGTACAGTTGCCGCAGGGCTATAGAACATTCTATTACGAATGCTCGGGACCAACTTACTCCAGTCAGCGGGAACTATGACTATGTATTTCCGCACGCGGAGGGGTGTGCGGATTGAGTTGGTTGTGGACAAAAACGTTGTTGTCAAGTAACAAATTAATAATAGTAATTTGTTCATCTTTCACGACAAAACTAATATTACGTACCGGGGTACCATCTTTTTTTTTTGATAAACAAATTACTACGGTATTATTAATTTGTTACTTGACAACAACAATGTTTTTGTCCACAACCAACACAACTCGCCCACCTCTCCGCGTGCGGAAATATACATAGTTCCCGCTGACTGGCGCTCACCAAAAATGGCCGTTTGAAGTTCGTAAATAATGTTCGTTCACAAGAAATACCGCAAGTAGACAATTTCAACGATAGTTAGAGGTTAAATTTTAGTAGCTGATATAACTTAAGACATATTCACTTTGGATAAGAGGCATTAATTGCCTACCACATACGTTTTATAGCCGCGAGTAACCGTGAATAAGTTGGTCCCTAGCATTCGTAATAGAATGTTCTATAGCCCTGCGGCAACTATACGCGGGCTATAGTACTAGAGCTATGTCAGCCTAAACAAGACCACAATAAGACGTTACTTAGACAGAAATGAAGACGCTAGTGAGGATTACAGTCTATACTTGGAAATAAGAAGTAGTCGGTCATTACTGTAGGTAGCCTGATCAGGCTCTATAACTGTTGCACGTCGTACGAGCCTCACACACTTTTATACTAAAAGCCTTGTAGTTGTTGCTTAAAAAAGTTCAAAACTGTATCTTATTACCATATTTTGCGCAATCATACTTTGGTACCCAGCAAATGAGTTTTCTCAAATGTGCTAAACTAATCCGAGGTGGTCCCCATATTTTACATCACTTATCACATGCTAGAAGTGTATTTTCAATTACGGCATACTTTTTAAAGTAACTATTGCGAGAGTTTTCCAGTGTTTTCACCACTTTCATGACACCTACCGTTATTGCTTGAGTAACAGCAATTGTCTAGAGTAACAATAAAATGTCTTAGAACCTTCGTATTCACCAAAAAAGTGCAAGTTTTGAACTAATAGTTTTCGTAAACAATCGTTTCCTGTCATTGCTATAATCTTGAACTAGCTGGAAGTATGGATTAGCTTGTGGTGCCACCGCTTATCTGCTGTAGACATAGTACAGGCTCTCTCAAATCATGCACTTCTTTTCAATTCATCACCGACACAAATACAAGTTTACCAATTCTGCCATTAGGCATTATCGGCATACAATAAAATTTATTGCTGTTACGATGGGGTCAAATCCATTTTTCTATGCTATAACTGCATAAAATCTTAGTATTTTTAATGTTGGTCTAATCAGTGATATTTCCACTGTCAGGTGAGACTATATTCAGCTATATTTAGTTTTTCTGAGCAAAAATCTCGCAATAGTGAGTTTAACTCGTATTTACCTTGGCGATCATGTTATAATCAGACAATTTGGAAAGGAATTATATTTTAAAGATGGCAAACTACATAATTGCATTACTTCTCAATTACTGCTGCAAGTGCATGAAAATCGTACAGAATTCAAGTAGGAATTGATGCCTTATACGAATTTCTCCCTTATCAAATTTCAAAAATGCTTGCTGACGTGTAAATATGTGGTTAGCAATAGCGCATTACTAGTTAACAAAGGTGGAGATGTACAGAGTTCTAAGCAGTATTGCCAGCAAGAGCCCGCATGAGTTCGGTATTGATACATTTTGTCCCAGCTCATTTTTAGCTACAAGGTTTGGTTGCTTTGTTCACTTGTTCCCTTTTCGCTTCGCAGTGAGACACAAGAAGGTAACTTGTGGCTATAATGTGATAATGTATTGTGCTCAAATTTGAAGAAAACAAGTTTCATCACTTCTGGTGTGAATAATCACAACATTAAATTGTTATCCACCCTCGTATGAATCACATCACACCGTCTTGCCCGACAGTGAAGTATAAGACCATTTGGCTTTGTTCATAATTTTGTTTGGCATTGTTCAGTGCATAAAATATCAGTTAAAACGGTTTCGAAATCTGATCTGGAGCATTTGTTTTGTATGTACACTGGTTCTCTAATAAAATTGTATGTCAGTCTCCTAATATTAAAGTGATTACATCACTGTAAATAGTAAAAATAAAAAATAAACATTTCCACTTTTTCACAAATTGTAAGTAATTCTGTTCACTTTTTATGGTTAAATTGCTGCATTATACTTCCTATTTTACTATATATTATTGTTTGATGTAAATATACACTCGTGACTCATACATAGCCCATAGCAAGCATAGCTCAGGGTCATAATATCAAATCGTTCAAGTTTTGTGGATTTTTAACTAGTTGAGAAACAATCTTATCAGGTAAGAATTTGACGATACGTTTAGTACTTACTTTTAATGTAAAAAAATGGCAACCAAAATTTTATAAATATACACCATCAGGCTTCTCCAAGAGCGCTTATAGCCATCGAGCCCTGCCATCCTAAAATGCACCCGCCACTCTAAATATCATAGCCGCCATGCTGGTGTATACACAAGAAGTTCAAACAATTCATACACGTTGTTTATATCGCAATGAACTTTGAAGTGATATATGAGTTTAGAGGGTCCCAGATTGCATCTCAGAGCTTCTACAATTCAAAAATTTTACGGGGGGGGGGGGGCAAGCCCCCGGACCCCCTAGCACGCAAACCGCCTTCGGCGATTTGCAGCTAGGACCGTAAAGGCAGCACCCCCATGCTATAATGAAAAGGCTTGGAGAACCCTGACCATAGAAAATTCGTCACATAGTCAATTTAAAAAATACCTAGCTATTTTCTCAAAGTATATTGAATCTTGAGCTATTATCACTATTCTAGAAATGAAAATATTGTGTCTACTAAAATATAGAGGCAATTGATGGTGAGTATAACCAAAAATTAAAAGGTTATATTGTAGAAATAAGAATGTTCAAAATCAGGACTGTCTGGGTTTCACACTTAATTTTGTGTTTACTGTACATCGAGTCCCATTTAAAATTGTAGATTCAGGATCGAGGGCAATTACCAGATGTAACTTTTTGGATTACTTTGTGTAAGGGGGTTCTGCAATAAACACTTATTGGTGTGCAGTGTGTTATCACCCTTGATTGTTGTTACCATTCATCATCAAAATGAAGCTGTCCAACAGACAACCTCAATAATTATATCTTTCCCATTGATCAATTGTGCTAGATAATTTAGTAGGTATATATATGCAGTTGCACAGTATATTATCAGTATTATGGCTTTCCATAATGATCTTCTAGTTAGGTTACTTTTTGAGTATTGCCATACCTGTAAAACATATATTTGCATTCATTTAAATGTTAAGTATAATGTATATAAACAGAGGAAATTACCTATCAGTTATTCATACTTCATCATAGATGTGTATGGTAAGTTATAAAGCAACATATTCAACGTAATGGTTTTTTTTTATATTATCACAGCACTTCTGGAGAGTCATTATATACTGTACTTGGCGTGCCAAAAACATCAACTCCTCAAGACATTAAAAAAGCCTACAGGCGGGTATGTATTAGGAGTCTAACAATACGTGAAACGATCATTACATTGCAATTGTCGACAGCTAATATCAGTAAATCAATAAGGAGTTACTTTAAATATCAATAATAATTGTGGCATAATAAAGACCAGCAACTATCGATAGATATTATATTTCGTTGCTTTGGTGTTTTATCATTCTTTGTTTCACTTACAAGTGTTTACATTTAACTATTTGTTTACGTAATCATGTCTTGAATTTTTCTGTCACTTAAATAAAATATAAGATGAACAAGAGATAGAAATGAGCATTCTATCCATGGAGCCACAGGGAATCAAAAAGAGTAAATCTGTAACAAAAAGCAGATGCATTCCAGATCATTAATCTGTAGCTGGTCCAAATAGTTGGCAGCACTGTTTGAAAAATGGGCTAGTTGTTTATCAGATTATGTACATCATAAATTAAGATGTTATTGATCAAGTTTGTTGAGCCTGATATCGCAAAAATAACTAGTGTGTAATAGGTGAGCTTTTGAACTTGGTGTGGTATTACATTTTTCCTGGTAGTCTATATGCTGAGATATTGCATGTTCCACTATGCTAAATTTGTCAAGGTTTTGCTCATACCCAATACTGGTTGCTTAGGTAGTTGCTAAATAACTTGTTGTTTTTCAGCTTGCCTTACAGTATCACCCAGACAAGAATCCAGAGAACCCAGAGGCAGAGGAGAAGGTGAGAAATGGTGACAGTGTAGTGATGTTGCATAGTATGAGCATGAGTAAAGGGGTGGACACACTAGGCGATTTTTGCAAGAGGCGACTTGGCGAGTAAAGGGATCGACAAAGGGGATCACCTAGTGTGTCCAGTGTCGCGGTCGCAATCACGGTCGATTTTCGAGCTGGCCGGCTGAGTTGCCCGAATCAAACATGTTTGATAATTATTCGAGTCGCGCGGCTACAATCGCCTAGTGTGCCCGGGTCTGCGATTGAGTTGGCCGATTGTACATTTCATCAGCCTATTAAATCACAATTAGTTGTCACATGATCCACAGAGTCGCCCGGCTCAGTCGCGTAGTGTGTCCACAGAGTCGCCCGACTCAGCCGGCCGGCTCGACCACATGAAAAATCGCGTAGTGTGTCCACAGCTTAAGGGAGTCACACTACATTGTAGCACAAGTGTTCTAGTGTTGCTATCAAAGTGCTGTTTGCAACGTGAGGATGCATCATTGTGTTTGATCTTTTCAGGGATAATTAACTTATAATTTATAACTTAATCTTGTGCATCCTGTGTTTAGCGGTTTACTAACTAATGAGAAAATATTGAGATCTTTTTTAATGCCTGTCTGACACAATAAAATTTTGCTGTTGTATCTCCTGCCCCTATGTGATCAAAGCTATTGGTAAATGCCTTTAGGCTGTTGCTGCATGAGGGTGGCTTTGTTGCATGTCTGTGGCAGATACTCGTGTATTGGGACTGCTTATGACAGGTAATTGACTACAATTAGTACATCCCTCTCTGGACCCTCCCGCATCCATCCATAAATGACCTGCTTTCAGAAATTCCTAAGGAGTCCCTATACGTATATATCTATATACACACACACACACACACACACACACACACACACACACACACACACACTGTATATGTGTGTATGTGTGCGTGGGTGCGTCAGAGATGCCAACCACTACGATTTATCCATATTTTATACGAATTTCTATTCCTTTTGGACCACTACTACCAGTTTGTATCAAACTACGAATTTCACTGTGATTGAAAAAAAATTTTTTTGTCAATTTATTGTCATTTTTTACCCTCAGAATGCAGGAAATTGCATCTCAGAATCAAAATTTTTTCCGGGGGGCATGCCGGACCCCCTAGCAAACTCTGGTCACTACGTGACCCTCGAACTACTAATTTGATAGTCAGAAACTACAGATTGCTTCAAATATGTGTTGGCATCTCTGGTGCGTGCACACGCGTGTGCATGCATGTGTTTGTAGATCAGGTCGATCCGGTCGGTGCGTCAGTGGTTGGTAAATAGACAAATAAATCGCGAAGTACATAGTTAAATACCAGCAAAATTACCTACCTATGTCACCCAAATTTTTTGTATGTGTTAAGATAAGTGCACAGCCACAACGTTTTACAACCCACTCCTTGTTATATCACTTCGTGAGTGTGCACACTCATCACCAGAGTCCCTCATCGTAGCATTCACAGGCAGCGGTGACAGCTGGCTAGGACGGCAAGTTATTTACACGGTGTATCATAGCCATGTTTGCTGCACTTTCAGTTCAAGGAACTGAATCATGCACACAGCGTGTTGACTGATAACACGCGCAAGGAGATATACGATGAATACGGCTCCCTTGGTCTCTATGTGGCTGAGCAGTTTGGCGAAGAAAATGTGCATGCCTACTTCATGCTTAACAGTAAATGGGCAAAGGTAAGTCCCCTGGTGGTGAGTCACTCAGATATCATGTCACCTCACGTTAACGTTGTTGCATACTGAAACTGTGGCCCACTAAACCTGTCATTTTTCATCTCAAAGTGTGTCCTTTGAGTGTGATAATGATGTGATGATCCTGACCTGACCATAGTCTATATAGATATGGCATTCAGGATTGGTGAAATTTTATGTATTTTATAATATAGGCAGTAAGGCTAGTTATTTTCTAAAATCACTAGTCACCATCCAACTCTTCTACTTCTAGCCATAAAAATTGATAAATAAATTAAGAAAAGAAATTAAATGACATGTTGAATATGATCATGGTGGGAGTAGTTGAAGGGCTGATTATTCAGTGTGAATAATGTGAGCTAGAATTAATAGTCCATCCAAATTCACAGCTTACTTATATTTCTTCGTCATCTCTATGATACCTTACACTTGTGTTAAAGTAATAAAGCACAAATGTGTTATATAAAAAAGTAAATAATTTGTGCATCAAAGGTCAATTTGACGATTGCCTGCTGTGTATAATAGAAGGCGAAAATGTCTAATGTCCAATTCACAGTTATTAAAACATTATCACTAGTGAAGAGACTACGCACCTTTTCATGTCGCCCTTTCCCAAAAAGTATATGTAATGAAATACTGAGTTTCAGATTTAGTGGGAAGGTATCTGTCTATTTATATTTGTATTTTTAACAATGTACAACGTCTGTTCATTCTCTTCCCCGACATACGATTTGTACGCTAGTGATTATGTCAAGGCCCGATATTAAAGCTATGATAGTAAACAAGCTCTTGATAACGTTGATACTTGTGACGAGACCCCTAAGTTTGTATAAGATTATCTTAGTCTTCTGGCAGCTAAACAGTGGTGGCTATTATATGTCATCACCGCGCAATGTAGAACGCATGTACAAAAAGCCGTGACTGTGTTGGTTTGTAACGGTTGCACTAGCTACAGCAGATCATACTGTGATCTCTCAACAAGAATGTACTAAGTGTGCGGCATATTTCTGATCGCATCTGTTAGTTTACCTGGTGCAGATCACGGGAGGAGAGTGTTGTGATTGCTTTGCATCGCAGTGGCTGTATGCGAAATCGGTGGCTGACAGCCTTGCTTGTCAGAGGACCAGTGATGTTATGATCTTTTTTGGGCTTGTATACATGCAAACGATGAACAAGCTAACTGAGCTCTCTACCTTACACGTGTGCACCCGTTGCGGAAGTGTAGTACTGAATCTAACTATATATTGAGGAGCTGACATCCCCTTCCCATCCTGTCTCTGTCAGAACCTACTTTGAGTGTCTGCAAGAAGTACGCAGGAAGTCATGGAAATGTATTAGGAGCAATTTAGTGCTTCCGTCCTCATACCACTACCATTGAAACGCAGAGATTGTTGGAGAGGGAAGAAGATGTGTACACATGTTTCATTTGGATTCGTGACAATGCAAAAGTGTTGACATGTGTACGTGACACAGGGAATGTGTGCACATAAACCGTGTGCACAGAAGATTGTGTGAGCCTTGTGAGGCCCGTCTGTCAACCCTAACACGTTTTCACACTGTAGAAACATTTGTGTGTGACGTGGTGCATCCGTAGATGGGCCAGTTGGTGGATAAAGTTCAGGCCGCTCTGTCATATGTATGTGCATGTAGAACCAATACAAAATGTGCTGTTCCGATGAGTGCTACAGCGTGGAGCGACAGTTCCACTGATACCCAGTCGCGATATTTTTGAGAAATTTCCACGTAAATTCTCTATCATTCAGTAGAATGTGTGAATGAATGCATCAACTATATAGGTAAATTTTTAGGGCCAGTCTAGGACCACTACTGCCTTTTCATGTTTATACCACGTGTTATAATATCAGGTTTGTAGTTGCCATTGTACTGATTTGTGTGCTTTGTGTGGTTTCAGGGTTGTTTCATCTTCTGCAGCGTCATAACTCTATGTTACTGCTGCTGTTGTTTCTGCTGCTGTTTCAATTTCTGCTGCGGCAAGTACAAGCCTAAACCACCCGAGGAATCTGGCGCCTACATGAACCTCAACGTAAGTAGCCTTCATCGCTGTGTTTCTTTCATGAGGTGACCCGCTCTTCCACATATTAGACCCACCCTTTTCAAAGGTCTGTGTAGACTCACCCGCACCACAGGCCTGTGTAGACCCACCCTCCCTACAGGCCTGTGTAGACATAGACTCACCCTCCCTACAGGCCTGTGTAGACCCACCCTCCCTACAGGCCTGTGTAGACCCACTCTCCCTACAGGCCTGTGTAGACCCACCCTCCCTACAGGCCTCTGTAGACCCACCCTCCCTACAGACCTGTGTAGACCCACCCTTCCTACAGGCCTGTGTAGACTCACCCTCCCTACAGGCCTGTGTAGACCCACCCTCCCTACAGGCCTGTGTAGACCCACCCTCCCTACAGGCGTGTGTAGACCCAATCCTCTCCACAAGGCTAAGTAGATCCACCCTCCCCACAGGTTGGTGTAGACCAACCCTCCCCACAGATCTGTGTAAAACCACCCTCCCCACAGGTTGGTGTAGACCAACCCTCCCCACAGATCTGTGTAAAACCACCCTCCCCACAGGTTGGTGTAGACCAACCCTCCCCACACGTCTGTGTAGACCAACCCTCCCTATTGGTTGGCGTAGACCCACCCATCCCACATGTTGGTGTATGTAGTACACCCTCTCCCAGATTGGTGTGCAAGGCCTCCCAACAGATCATTGTGGGTCCACCGGGACCCTCTCAGCAGGTTTGTGTGAGCCTATCTTTCCCGCCAATCGTATAATACCAATTACCAATGACGTTGCCACGTCTTATCAATAGATTCGGGTTTAATTTTTTTAGTTGCACTGGCTATTGCACGTGATTAACTCATAGCACTAGAGAGTTGTGTTACCCTTGCCGTTGTTTGCGCGGCGTGTCCCCCGGTGCACGCAGGCGAGGGGCGTCTGTAAGCGCGAGTGCACTGGTGATGATAAGATGCTGCCTGTCGCTATTCACGCGCTATGGAAAGTCCGCTGGGATGAAGCTGTACAGTGTGTGTGTGTGCGTGCGTGCGTGCGTGCGTGCGTGCGTGTGTGTGCGTGCGTGCGTGCGTGTGCGTGCGTGCGTGCGTGCGCGTGTGCGTGTGTGTGCGTGTGCCTATGTCGTGTTATCTCTGCATGTGCCGCCGGCCTGGCGTTAGTACGTTAGGCAATTGGGCGTGATGGCCAGCACGAGTCTAATAGTAATAGTCATGAATAACCTTAACATGCGCTAAGGGTTGTGGTGTCAGGGGTACAGATGAGACTCGAGGGGAAAATGGTAGGCGAATAGCCCATTGCTACGCAGTGGTTGTTACACTGTTATTAGACGGTAGCCGTACTGTGAAGTACAGTAATAACCCGCGTATAAGAACATAGATTTTAAGAACATGTTAGGCTAAAAAATTTTCCATTTAGACCCCTTTACATAAGAACCTGTTTTAGGCTAAGATTTTAAAGTAGGTTCTTAATTTTCCATGCAGATGAAGACTTAAAAAGAAACACGCATCTTTTTGCATGTTGTTTTGTTTCCTTGGATACATACTGTATCATACAGTATGGTAAGCACTGAAAAACTTACACTGTAGCCCATCATGGGTATTAATTAGCAAAAATTGCAGTTCTTGTAAGAAAATTTTAACACAATTTGAATCAAGTATAAGCTTATACATATTAAAAGTAGAAACAATTAAGAACCTATTTAAGAACCTTTTGAGCCTAATTTTTCAGTAAGCACCATTTATATAAGAACATGTTGAGGCTAACTTGGAAAAATCTATGTTCTTATACGCGGGTTATTACTGTATGATTAGAAAAATGTGTTTATTTCGCGTGCCGTGTGTGTCATCTGCCCTACATGTCATCTGTCTAATTCCGTCCTGCGCTGTCACTGTCAATGTGGATATGGCTATGTATTTTTGCTGTAGTACTAATCAATGTCCAGTGCATGCGCACGCAATTAGCGTGAATTATTGATAGCACCGAGAATTGGATGCTGATATTGTGTCGGCTGCTATTGTTGTATAGTTACCGCTCTTGTCGTGTGCTCGACTATATATAACAATTTCGTTGCTGCTTCTGGCTTTTATGTGCATGTCTCAATCGCGTGTTTAGGGGCGCGTGTGAATAGATGCGTGCTTGCGTGAAAGCAAAATGTGTGAATGTCTATGCGAGAATTAAGAAAGCGTTTTGACGTAACATGAGTTGGTGGGAAGGGTTTGAAAGTGCTTGACAACCTAGTAGCTAAATATGTCTCTAAGTTATGTTGTTTCCTTACTGAGTAAGAAGAAACAGCAGAGCCTTTCTAGTGCTATGTGGAAGGTTGCATGTAGGATTAAATATCATGGCTTGCCATCATTGAGAATTTATCTCTCAGTAAAGCAAAGTAAGAAAAGCCCCTGTAGTATACCAAGTTAAACATCTTTAATCAACTGGCAATACACTTTCAGCAGTATTTTCAGTTAGATTCGGGTTTATTTATGGTAGTAATAAATTTAAATGGTTATGGTTTTACAAAAAGGGAGCAACTTATGTGTCGGAACTATCTAACAATGCCTATGTTTAGCTGTCTGTAATATGGAAGAGCGAAACTGTGAAACGTTTTTTCTTTGCCAATGCGGGCAGTTCTATCAGCATTGTTCATCACTCTTTACATAATACAGGATCACACAAATTCTGCACTCGTGTTAATAATTTAAATTGGTGCCATAAATTTTCCATTAAGTAAACAGTAATATTTATGTGCAAACTCTTCTTTTCATCACGATTGTATGAGACTTTTATAATGTCGACACATCGGTTGGTGGCAGTTGCCTTCCATTGCTTATAATTATGTAATTACTGTGTTACGTACGAGCCTACATGCACTCTATGAATGGTAAGACTTGAATGTACTACCGTGGTATGGCATTCACAGAAGGATTAGTGCAGTAACCTATTGTTGCTATATGGGTAATACATATAGGCTGTTTATTAAATGCAAGTAGTAATGATATTGACTAGCGACTTACGCTCACTTTACTTCACTCGTGTGAATTTGAAATTCCCATCACTCTTCTGAAGTAATCTGGCTCGGGAAACTACAGTGATAGAACCCCATAATCGAATATTCCTGTACATGCTGCTCCTACTATTATTGCCGATGTCTTGGTGTTGGTGGTGGTTGTCTCTTAAGTAAGGTGTTGCCAGTAGTGACTGGGGGCGTGCATGTTAATGGTGTTGGTTGTTGGTAGAGTGATGATTGGTGTTTGTTCCCTTTGGGGGGGGGGCAATGGTTGTAGTTAGTAGATGCCTGTGGATGGTATTGCTGGTAAGTTGGGTGTGTGCCATGTGCTAGTTGTGGTTGTTGCTGGGTGGAGGGTGTTCCTGGTGTTGGTTGTTGGTAGGGGCGTGATGGTGATGGTTGCAATTGGGGGGGGGGGTTTGGTTATTGATGTGGGCATTTTGATGATGGTGGTTGTGGTGGCGACAGTGTTGATGGTTGGTGGTGGTGGTGGGAGGTGGGGGGTTATATTGATGGTGGTGGTGGGGAGGAAGGTGTTGGTGGAGAGTGTGTTGATGAGCTGCATGGTATGTTAGTGGTGTTGGTGATAGTGGTCTATTATGGAGGTATAATGATGATGGTGGTGGAGGTATATTTTTGATATTGGTGGTTGGCGGGGGCGCATGTTGGTGTTGGTGATAGTGGTCTATTATGGAGGTATAATGATGATGGTGGTGGAGGTTTATTGATGATATTGGTGGTTGGCGGGGGCGCATGTTGGTGTTGGTGATAGTGGTCTATTATGGAGATGGAATGATGATGGTGGTGGAAGTATATTTTTGATATTGGTGGTTGGAATAGACCACTATCACCAACACCAACATGCGCCCCCGGTGGAGATGTAATGATGATGTTGGTGGAAGTATATTTTTGATATTGGTGGTTGGTGGGAGAGCATGTTGGTATTAATGGTAGTGGTGTATGTGATGATGAAGCTGCTGGTGATCTATGGGTAGCTGTTAATGGCCATGATGTTGTGTGTGGTGTTGGTGGCTGCCGGCAGCAGCATTGGTAGTTTTTCGGTTTGCGATGGATCTAGTGGTTCTTTTGTTGATCCTGGTTTTCCTATTGCTACTATTGTGACGTGTATTATTATTGCAGTTATCTTTTCTGTTTCTTTCACTAAAGAAAGTTGTTTTAATATCACTATGCAAAATTGCTAATTTAGTTTCTTCCTGCATATGTAAAATCAGTTTGAGGTGTATTCACTTTTACACAGCGTGGCTGACAATTTATTGACTGGCATATAAATGGAAAGTATGACAATATGCGCGCAGAATCTAAACATGAAATAATCGATTGAAAAAACTATTGTGGGACATGAAGCAAACTAAGTAAATGAAGCTATACTACCAACACGACTCGAGTGTCAATCTATGGTAGCCCCTGCCACGTTTGTCTAACTCGGCAGTCTGAGATATTTAAGGATAAAGGATGCTTTTTTCTAAATGGGCAATGCAACCAAGCAAAGATTAATGCAGTTGACTCTCCCTTGCATTAAAGTGCGTGTACGTTTTTACCAATTTTCCCATTGTGGACTAATGTTAATTAGTATAACTTTTACTGCATGATACTTATGCTAAAAATATAATTAGATGTTTTTATCGGCGTATTGGACCAGCCGTGATCCATGTGTGGGAACAGTTAAAATCAAACTTCTTAGAACCAGGTGTATAGGTGCATCTTCACTGCTCTATTGTGTTTTATTGTGTGTCAGTACCAAAGTGCATGGTGTTGCTTTTAATTGCTGATAATGCGCTTTTGCACGTGCTTCTTCTGTCCCCATCTGCTGCTTTACGATCACTGCATGGCGTCCTATTCGTCGTAGACTGTTTCAGCTATTGCGAAAAAAACGATGGTTTACGTTTTTTTTTACACTGTACTGTTCCCATCGACTCGTGTCCTCACCTTCCTGGTGTAAAAATGTGCATGCATTATTTTGTACAGCAAAATCATTTTTTGTTGGTTTTTGGTGTTGCATGTGCTTTTGTTTGCATTGTTCAGCAGGACCAAGAACAGGAGCAGCTGTCAGGTGGAGCCACTCCTGAACAGCAGACAGTAATAATTATCTCTGAGCAGCCCACATCTAGTAGTAATATTCCAGAAGCAAAAACGAGTCCTAAATCAAGTCCAGCAAAGGTCAGTGTAGGTGAGCTCTTTAAGGATACTCTCCACCTTTTACACGGGTATTGCTCTAGAATGAAGATTAAACGTTTATTGGCGAATGAATCGAATCAATCACTTGTTTTATTTATAGAGGAGATATATCTCTATGCTCAAGCCAAAAAATTTCATGAAATTTCCAGCACCTAATTATGTTACCACACAAATTTTGAATTTTTATGTAAAAATGGTATTTTGGATATTTCTCAACTACCAGAAAGAGTGAGTATACAACATTTTTGCCACATCTTAAGCACAATATGGACCAAAATAGTGCGTCAGGATTTTTCTTCAAGTTTTATATTTACCGAGAAAAATGGAAAAAAAATCAAGTTGTGTGTTAGAATTGAAGATTTTAGCGAATAAAGAGGCATAACTAATGAAATACAGCACTTAATAACAATCCCTGACGACCTTTTTTACAGCAATATGTTACCATTAAAACGAGTGTAAAATTAAATTAATCCGAGTTGTAATCACAGAGAAATACCCATTTATACATCGGCTACTACGTCAGAAATCGAAACGGAGAAATCAGCGTTTTTCTATTTTTCACAATGATTGACCGCCTGTGTGCAAAATGGGTGAACGTATGTGAAATATCTACTGTTAGTACTTACTGCGACATATCCATGACTAACTGATACTACTAAATTGGTAATATGTTCCATGCACCTTACCAGAGAAATTGTGCGAAATTACGAGGTTACCACCGCACTTTCATGCAAAACGCGCGTACGATGTGTACTGCATGCCGTTACTAAGCTATGCGTCAACAAACACGCGCCTAAATGCAAGGTGTGTAACAAGGGAAACGGGACTATTTTCGGTCGCGCGGCAATTTCAACTATCACTAGCAGGGTTGATGCTGAATGATACTGGCTTAGTGAATATCATGAAAATTCTGGTTGTATTATGTCTCTGACGTCATCAGTGACGTCAGCTGCTGCTCACTACACGTGTAGGCAATCAAAACGCTCTAAAAGTTCACATGTACCGTTATATGCAGAAATGAGCATATATAGAGGTGGCACATAGTGTTATGCTAGCTGCACACTATCCGATTTTGCACTGTGCACAGCACTTTGCCCCCGCACACTGTCCGACCCGCTCCCGATCGATCGGGAGGCCCCCGCACACTGTCCGACTCAAAGTTGGCGCAAACCATGGCACTCCCGTGGCGTTCCAAGCGGATTTAGCGTGTACTAAGGGTCGGGAGTGTTTTCCCGCCATTTTTACCGAATGCGGTTCCCATGGCGCTGCTTTGTGATTGGTCAATTTTCTTCAGCGCTCGCCGATCGGGTCGGATGGCCACGCACACTATCCGAGTCGCGTCGTAAGCCCTCGCACACTATACACTCCCGATTCATAATTCGAATCGGGCCAAAATGACCTCCCGAGCCAAACTTAAGCCTCCCGAGCCAAACTTAAGCCTCTCGATCCAATCGTAAGCCTCCCGATCGCGCTCGAGTCGGATAGTGTGCGGCTAGCATTAGCCATCGAATAAAGTCGAAAATGAAAAATCGGTAAAGTTTTTCCTAAAACCTTGAGAGTATCCTTAAGTACTAGTCTAAAGAATTGCAAACGGAGAGCATCGTGAGCACTCTAATAGCTCACGGACGGTGTGGACTATGAAACGCCCGAAAGACATTGTCAATTTAGGCACTTAATTATGAATGTAAACCACAGACATGATTCAGACAGAAGAGAGGCAGGCAGTTTTATGATGCGTGTAAAGGACACGCAGACGTTGTCGGTGTGCATGCAAATGACAAGCAGGCAGTGTCATCATGCATGAAAAACACAGGGTGACAGAATCGTTGTGCATGGGGAGGTAAGGCCGACAGGCATCGTCATGGTGCATGCCAGGGAGGCAGGCAGCATGGGTCAGTCAGTAGCTCTTGCAGTATCGTGGAATTCTAGAGCTTGTCAGGCAAGCATGGATAGGTAACATCTGGGGACATATATATATACTGTGTAGTGCCATTGTGTGTTTTGTCCAGACTTCAGATATTCTCAAATGTACACACTGCACTCGTTTAGTAGCATATAAGCCTCAAGAGATATCTTCATTGTACATATTGCACTCAGTCAATACTATAGGAACGTTAAGATGCCTTCGTTGTACATAATACACATTCAGTAGCATATAAGCTTTAAGAGATAACTTTATTATACACGCTGCACCTATTCAATAGTGTATAACACGTGGGTGGTATCCTCATTATAAATACGGCACTCATTCAGTAGCACACTACTGGGAGCTGTAATTGCAATGTGCACTGCAATAATTCATAAATAATGCAAATATGGTGGATACCCTGGTACTACTGTTATCATTCAAATCTTGCAAGCCATGAGAGATGTCATCACTGTGTGCACTTTGCTTGTTTAGTTTATGGAGTGCAACATATAATAGAATAGTTGTGTGTACTGCACAGTGTGTAGTACTTTCTGCAGATGTGTTCTCATTATACTGATAAAATCAGTGATAAAATCAAATAGCACAACCTCCCAATATTGCCTGATGTTCAGGTAAAACATTTTCTCTAGAAAGGAGAATCCAATTTGGTTTATGCGTGTGAGTGTGAGTCTGAAAAGTGATCTAAAAAGTTGAGCAAAAAGAAAAGTATCTAGTGCCCCTCTTGTTTGTGAAATTAACTTTCTAATCTGATAGATATGTTGAAACCCTGCAGTGCATGTTGTAGGTACGTGTACAAGAAAACAGCTCGTGTGATCAGAATTAAGATGTGATATTCTGTGTGAATTAGAACTCTTGGCAGCAATACCCACCAAAAACTAAACAAACTCAATACTATCAGAACCCCATTCCTTTATATATTGGAGAGAATCAACAAATTCACTCAATGCTAGCACTAAAAATGTGATATTTCCGTGCAGATCTTTTTTAACTCGCCTTGACATCGTCAAGATGAGCTATTGCCATGGGTCGTCGTACGTCCGTCCGTCGTCCTTCTGCCGTCAACATTTGGCTACGGTCAACGATAACTCAGGAAACCGTATACACCCACATGTTTGAAATTGGGTATAGTTGTTACTGCTATGGCAGAGGTTGAACGTCCTATTTTGGAGCACGCCAGTCGACGTACTTTCGAGCCACGGCAATTTTTTGGCAAAAATGGGGAAATTGGCCAGATTTAGGGGGTCAGTTCAGCGTTCCAACGATTTTGCATCATTTTATGCTGAATGAATAAAGGCCAGGGTTTTGATATTTCAAAAAAATTATGCAAATTAGGTAGGTTTTGCCAATTATATAGCATATAAATAGACACGCCAGATAACAGTCTGTGGTGTCACACTCGTCTGGTTCGTTTTACAAGATTTCATTGACAATATCTTTAATGCAAAATTGTATTCCTTTCCACCCTGCCGATAAAATCGTCTATATTAGAGTAAAGTTTTTACAAACATGTCGGAAACGCAGCATAACCTATTTATTTCGAACGCCATCACTAAGAAACATCAAAGCGGGGCTATAGCCGCCATCTACTGTAACACAATGTGATTCATTTTGGTTTATAAATATTATTGCGATATACAGATGGCAACCGTCGTGCTACCGCCTAGAAAAAACTCATGACAAGTAAACACTTCGTCTTCCATGCAAAGCCAATTTAACCTTTGACAAAAAGTGTGTTATGGGCAGGAAACACCATTGTCACGTCGTATATAGCAGCTACGTGGAATAAGCGTATCCTCTTCAATCTTACACGTTACACATCGGGAGCTCCGCCTTTAGCAGTGCCTAAAGTCTGATATATAAAACGTTAAATGCGCGATCATTTAGGTGTAACGCCATCACTCGCCCACATCTCAGACTTTCACATCTCAAACATTTATTTTCACATAAAAAATACACATAATTATCAAGAGTATATAATGGATTTCTCACCATAACTATACTCTTCATTTCTATAAGTACGCGACTGGTTTACTCAATCAAAAACTGACTTCTTCTCACTCACTCATTTGTGTCCTTTTTTTGTGGTGAGCTACAGTGTCATTGACACTTTCTTTCTGATATAGCAGCAGATGCTGTAATTGATTAAGGTGCACAGTATTCTGTCTATACAGCTCCCCCCCCCAAAAAAAAATCGATATAAAAATTCTGCTAATTTGCTGATTTCTGTGACCAGGAGGATCTTAGCTCAGACGAGGATGACGTTGTGACATCGCAGCCACCCCTCGCCGAGGCCCAGTTGGCGCCAGGTGTCAGTGAGAGGACAAGTTTAAACATGCAGCGCCCTCCCACCTATGTAGGTGACACCGGCTGTGATGAGAGATCGTCATGAAACACATAGGTGGCGCTGGCGAGGCAGGCGTGACGAGGTGCGGTCACTGCTTTTGATTATCGCGAGGTTGAGTAGATTATTGTTCATTTCCGGATGAACGTCTGTCATTCAATGTACTGGTAAAATTCAAGAATTGCCGCATTGGAGTTGAACCAGGATCACGTCGTTCATAATAAGTCTTCTGTCAAGTAAATATAATTCTAAGGGTTTTACGCTGCGAGAAAGGCTATTTAACTATATTATAATAAATCAGTAATACCTATCTGCCACTCTTAGTTTGCGGTGGTACGTCTGATAAGCTACTATTTACGCATAATGTGTACTATATAATGTATCGACAGCAAAGTCCTGTGTGAGTGAAAGCATCCCTTCACATACCGCATTTAAGTTTACATTGCCATTCATTTATTGCCATTTATTCACGTTATGTAACCATTCGAAATAATGGTTGTGTGTTTGGCCTTGTGTAGGCAGGATCGATATGAATGTAAAATTACGCGCGGGACTGAGTTTATCGTGCACATAAGCTACACAGTTTAGCCATCATGCATGTGTTTGTCTGCTAATAAGTAATTTCAACTTAATTATTAGATAGTTTCATCTAACTACTGATCGATATTTGTATATTCTCTGTGCACTGCCTAGCTTCCATTCGCGCATGTTTTTAATGAGGACGATTGTCCTATTATAGTCTGACAGAGAGCCCCAAAACTGACGTATCTTGAAACTAGATGACTACTGAATCCTCAAAGACAGAAAGGGAAATTAATGTTATCTACTGGTCCCTGTTTTATCAGGACAAATCAACTGAAAATGTCCCGATTAAGCAGTTAACACGTAACATGTGTAACGATTATTTTTCAAAAACACGTTTAAAGGGATACATTTCTCTAGGTTCTTCAGATATTTTCAGCTAAGATAGGTTAAAATTATGCTTCATAAAAAGTTTTATGGTTCAATATTTATTAGAAATATTTAAAAAAAATGTTTTATGTTTTTGACATACAGTTGCTTACAGCGACAGTGGTGCCACTGGCAGCGCACCCACTGAAAAAGTTGCGCAAAGCAACGTTTCGGCTGCAGGCTACAGACCCAGGGTGTTTTTTATTTATTAATTTAAGAGCAGAAGTATTGCAATATCTTATAAACGACATAATAGTTTCAGTTATAATATGGATAAATTTGTCCTAAAATGAATATCGTTCGGATAAATAGCATTTAGGTATAAATATAATTGCACTTTTGTGATTAGCCCTCGGTCTGTTACGTGCAAAATAAATTGGCAAATGCACAACTTTTTCAGGGTGGCAGCACGGTCGTGGGTGTCATGTCAGTGCCCAAAAATAAAGATTTCGAAATTCAATGTTGTTTTATGACAAACGTGACTGCGTAATTATAGATATTTATAGGTATGTGCTATTATCTATAAATCTACTGTCATAATATACTTTCAAATTCTAAAGAAAAGTATCCCTTTAAGTGATGTGCCCGTTTATCTGAGGCTCATTAAATTGTGGACCACTGTATGGGGTGGTGTCCATTTTCATTAGCTCCGCTTTTTAGTTGTGTGCATCAATGATTTCAATCACAGTCTTAACGCACCTATACGTACTATCCTAAGAGTAGATAATAACAATCTTGTTAATAATAATAATGGTAATAACAATATTGTTATTATATAATCTTGGTACTATCCTAAGAGATGTTAATTTTACTGTGATTAACTTTCATGTTTATAAATTATCGAACAACAAGAGTTCTCGTATATGTAGGTGCAAGCGTGTGTGCGTGCGTGTGCTGGTTTATTGCTGGTTCATACTCACAGTCGTCTGGCTGTTCTGTGTTTGTGTATGTGCATTGATTTGAATCGATGTTAGTCGCCATTTGGTTACTGCCAGATCTTGCAGTAGCACTTTTTAGTTGGTTCTGCAGTTTTCTAACTCTAGGAGGCATATTTGGGACTATGATCTTCAAAGAGCCAGTAATTTCATTACAGGAAATAAGACACAACCCCCCCCCCCACACATACACATACACATACACAGAGACACACCAGAGATTCTAGTCTGTTCAAGAAGGCTGTGTGATGAACCAGGCAGTATTCACTGTTTGTCTGTAGTAGTTCCTGTCTGTATGCGACAGCGCATTCGTTGTCATGGTTCGTTACATTCAATAGGAAACTGTGTCGTTGGCTTGCATCTTTGCTAATGTGATCAGGTTTCTCCTTTGGTCCAAGTAAAAACTCTCTCTTTTATTTGCAAAAGTCGGTGAAGGAGAATACTGCACTCCGAAATACGTGATAATAACTTGGAGAGGCAAGCAGACATCTCTATTGCAGGACGATCTCTGGCATTGGCTGTGAAGGAAAGTCAAGGTCTGTACTACAGACCTTGTCTGTTCTACAGGCCTGTACTGAGCGAGACGTTCTCTCTGACGTCTGCTGTGAAAATGGAATGTGGAAGGCGACCAATTACGCTTTTATCGCGCTTGTTAGAACAACGTAAATCAATTAGATAATAGAGCATGTATGGCGTATAAGTACCGTATAAATTATATACTTGTACTCGGACACACCCAGCAAGATGATGACCGCTTTTCACGTTCCCTGTGAAAACGAGTTCGAGTGTAGCGTCCGTGACCGTGAGTAACTGCACTGTGGCATGTACATTAAAATGACCAGTGGCAGTGCTGCTAACGGTGGGTACACTCCCAGCGAGTTTTGTTGCCGGTATGGTGATTGTAAATCACTTGTGATATTTATGGGTTTTTTCGTAGGTGATTAGACAGCAGACGATTCATTTATCAATGCATGCGTAAATCACGTGATATCTAGCGGTCTGCTTATTGGGCTATTATATTGCAACACCATGTACGCACACACTGGGTAATTGGTGGTGATAGGTAATTTAGTATTGTCGTCGGCGATTTGATCGCCAGATATCTAGCACGCTAGATTTTGGCGATCTTGTCACTAACAATTGGACTGCACACGCCGTGAAGCACTGATAACGTGGTTAGTGGTTACTATAGCCACAAACAACACCGGATGTGTGCCCGCCCTAGTGTGTATGCACCCATAGTGTGGTTTTTCATGGAAAACTACCAAATCATCGAATTCGTATTCATAGGGCATGTGAACACTGGTCAAGCACTTGTTGGATGTATACTCGGCATATGTGTATACGACTGCAGTGAATATGCACAAGTAGTGTGCATAAATGAATATAGCCTATAATCGTTGCACAATAGACTAAATGTACGCATTGACAGGTTAATGAGCTGTGTATTGCATCTCGGCTGTCTAGTGGTGATGCCTGTCGCAGTTTGTATAGTAGATTTTCATTGTTCGGAATATAAAGGTCATTTACATTGAAACATACTTCTTTATCTTTAAAACCCTATATGATATGAATAGTTATACGTCATATAATATATAATAAAGACGAGATGATGTGGGGCCTATGAATTCAATTAGAAGCAAACTTTTCGCCAATTAGACTTGCGCTATATAGTGATCCTGTCTTTCTGATGTTTGGTCCAGGTAGGATGTCTGGTAATGGGCAGACAGGTAAATGTCTGTACTGTTGGGAGATGTCTGATATTGCATGGAAATGCAGATGAACAGTTGTCTGGTCTGTTTTAGAGGTGTCTAATATTGGTTGGGATGACAAGCAGACTTAATTCTCATGTTCTTGAGGATGCGTGTGATGTTTGCTTGATTTCCCCTATCGGACGGAGTGCGAGTTCCATGTTGAAAACCTTTCTCGACTCTGCTGTGTAAAGTTTTACCACCTTCCGTGTTTAGTAGTCACAATAATTCACGTGTACGTGTTGTGTTGTATTGGAGTGACTCTTAAACTTAATTATCAAGGAAAACGTCTTCAGTCACGACCAAGTGTGCAGTGAGAATATTGATCAGGTTATAATAATGCCACTTGTTTCGTGACTGGATATTGTACCGACGTTGATCATGATGTGGAATAATCGCTTATAACTTTACGACAGGACCGTCGATTAGATCCGATAAGAATTACCTAGAAGTAGAAGTGCTTGCTACTTTGCTGAAAATTTTTAAAATATAAATGTCAAGAAATCAAGTGAAATTGTGCAAATCATTGGTGAAGAACTGCCGCTACGGTTTTAGTAAAAAGATTAAGCTAGAGAGAGTAGCTTAGCTGTCACATTTACACGTGCCTGTTCTTATATATATACGATTTAACAAGTGAGCTGTGCAGGGAGTTGTGAAAATACTGTGTGTAATTATTGATTGCTATTTAACCAATAGACATAATTTACACGATTATTGAAGGTTTTGTGTATACACTACTGTGTATACACACTACTGTGTATGGTCTATAGTACCGCACATGACAGTTAAACGTCAGTTAACAAAGTATAATGAACACGTTAATTGTATAAAATTTCGTCGAGTTACAGTTTCTGGAGTTATATGTCTGTTGTTCTTGATTGTAGATAGGAACATGTATAGCTAGCTACCTAAATATCGATCGTACATGAAAGCAAGTTGAATATAATAGGAAGGTGAGCCTTCGTGTGAAATGTGGCCTACTGCCCGCGCATTGATAGTGCAGCATCGGTCTTTTAGCGAAGAACGGGTCACATTCTCTTCATTATCCATCTGTATTTGCACAGGTATCAAAAATATGCACGTCTGTACCATCGGTGGTGATGGAAATTTCCAAACGGTATGATAAACGCAAAAAAAACGTGAGAGTAAGCGTACCAGCTACAGTGCCAAAACAACATGTCAGTTTTCCGACGAAGAAAGCTTTGACGCGCTTACACTGTTTGTTATGCAAGGTTGGCGGTTACGGTGCGTGTGATTGGTGCGAGGTATTCAGTGATGTGACCGATACGCTTGCTCAGGTTGGTGATTGGCGCGATTAATCCAAGCAGCATATCCTCTTCCAGCGCTTCGTTCACGAAGTAACTAACAATCTAGTCACAGCAATAGGGTTGTACCTTTTTGAACAACTGTAATAGTATTGCGCACTGTTAAGAGTAGGGAAGGTGTGCTATCTGCAAGTTGCAATCACCTCTGACTATCACAGGATCATCGTACTGCCACATTGAAAGCGATGCAACTTGCAGTACGTAGCTGCTATGCGCTGTTGTGTCATGATCAACGCGTATATGTTTGATTGGAATGTGTGAAACGAAATGTGAGAATATAATGTCAAAATTATCATGATGAATATGCCTATTTGTAATTTTTCTTTGCATCTGTGGAGAGAGAGACAGTGATCAAATTCCCGTTATTTAATATATATATATATGTGTATACTTACATACATATATATATATATATATATATATATATATATATATATATAGTTATATAATAGGGACGTAAAAGAACTTCTGAGAACGTAAAAGAAACCCCTGGTACCATACTGCGGGGTACCATTAACCATCTTCGACGTGCATTCACCGGATTTCTCCCTTTCAGTGATCTTGCACTTGCCCTGAACAAGCGCGTACGCGTCCTGTAGGCGAATATAATACACACATGCATGCACGCACGCACGCACGCGCACACACATATATATATATATAGAAGTAAAAACACATACGAACACCCATGTAGATAATAAATGTAAAAAATAAAAATAGGGTGTTAAATTCTAATACGCGAGCTCTCGAGAGAATTATATCACTTTGTCAAGCTATCAACACAATAAACGTCAGTTCATAGCCTGAAGAAGAGATATAATTCTCGAAAGCTCGCATATTAAAATTTAACACCCTATTCCTATTCTTTTACATTTATTTATATATATATATATATATATATATATATATGTATATCATAAACTTTTTTTTTATAATTATTTTGCATAAAAACGGGCAACCATCTGTGATGATAATAGGCCTACATCGTAATATTCAGAATCTACGGGAGAACGTCAGTGTGGGTGGGAGATACTCACGGGCTGACGTATCCGTTCATGTACGCTCAAAGGCACAAATATGTATTTATGTTCACGCACATCAGAGCACAGACAGGGTCTGAGCAAATCGGCGCATTTACAGTTCCTTTATACACGTATATACCTAACATAGGCCTATTATATAGAATGGGATTTCAGAT